CAGCCAACTAATTGACATGGGCAGCACCGATTCTGATAGTAAATTAGGCTGGCGGAACCATCCGCTTGTGTGTGGACCTTTTCAGTGGTCTCACTGTAGAACTGGGTACGCTTCAGCACCATTTAGCTCTTTCAGACGACTTATTTGTCCAACTAACTGGAGGCAAATGTTTTGCGAAGGGCGGTTTGGCTCAGTCGCACCTGCAGATCGACGTCTTCGATGAATCCTAAGGAATTTCAACCACCAATACGCACCACAGTCTTTCAGTATTCTAAACTGCCGTTCTGTTTCCAGATAGCTTTATTCATATTCCAGCAAGTCATAGAACCGATGCATAAGGATGCCTCTGGTATTACCCCTTATTTGGACGGTCTCATCGTTATGAGTCCCAACCTCCATGGATTGTCAGCACCTTGACGGTCGTAGTAAAAAATGGCTTCAGGGAAATATGCACCTCCTGCATACAGCCGATCAGGTGTTGATGAACATTTGATGAACAGTTGATGAACATGGCCGCCGGAAAATATTGATGCAATCAGATGCTTGCCAGCACTTGCAGAGTCAGCACTCCTTAAACCGTTCCTCGGTGTTGTCAGCCACTACAGTTCGTTCCTGACAGCTTTCGAGGACCACAAGTAGACATGATCAGAGGAATACCAACTCGCCTTCGCCACTTTCAAATCATCCCTGATCTCCAAATGGCTTATACCCCGCTACGATCCCTCGGTGGAACCGGTTGATTCAAAATGGGGTTGGCGCGGTAGTATCGCATGTATTCCCTGACAGCAGCCCGGCCGTTACCCCCACTTTATCCTAAATTCCCTAACCAGTTTCCGCGGAACAGCTCGATTTCGAATGCAACGCTGTCCTGAATGACCATCTGTAAGGGTTCAGGCCCCACCTTTATAGGTGATACGCTATCTTGTTTGTCCTACGTTTGGTCTTCCTTTGACTCTTTCGGTGGGATGAACTTGGCTGCTTCGGGCATCGATGACATTTTGATCGGGCCCGGCATTCGCAGCATGCATCCAGGCTTCATTAATTGGATTGGAACCTCTTACATGGCCAGATTGGTGGCGTTGTCTTCAAGGCACAACGACAACAACAACATCGACAGCATGACATCAGTGTTCAACACCGATACTTCACTGTCGTACAACCATGATTTTTGATTTGAAAGCCTTACTGTAAAGAAAATTGTAAATGTGGACAGGGGAGGGACTTGATGATAGCTTACCACAATCATTCTGAGGTGCTTACACCTCCAGACATTCACTCAGGCAATCTGGATAGAAACTGACAACAAGAACCCCACTGACATCGGTTGGCAGCCATATCTTGTAGTGTCTCCGACCAGGCACAGTGAGGATCACGCGGTCCCCATTCTGAAAGGCGAGTAGCACCGACAGCACCCAAGCGTTTCGTGATCTCATTCATACTCTGCTTGCGCCACTCTGAATTAGGCATAGAAAACAGCACTCTCTTCGGCAAGCGATGGTTCGGCATACGCAACACATGTCCCAACCAACGCAGCTTCTGGTGCTGAACACATTCTTCAAGGCACTTCTTCAAGGACACCTCGCTCTGAAGTTCTGACGTCTGCGTACTCCCCTTACACATATACTGCCTAGTCCTTAGGTGAACAGCCTGTTATGAGCGGTTACTTCTCCTATCCATGACTCTTCAGACGATACCGCGCTGCACCAGCGCTCCGCCTTATTTCGTCGAAATACCATTGTTGCCCTGAATACCAACCTTGCCGCCTCCCCAGACCTGGGGTTCGACCAGCACAGCTGCATTCAGTCATCGCATGTATATCCCCTTGTCATTGTCCTTTCATCTGTCCACTCTAGACCTATACCCATCCACAGAATTCATTGCCACTCATCTTGATTTACCCTGGTACTCAGACAAATTATTCGTACACATCAAAGGTCTCATAAGCCCCCAGGAAAGTTGGTTCCTGTTTCGGGCATGTGAGTATATTAACCCGTTTTAAATTCTCTGCTTTCCTGTGGAGGATTGCTTGTTATTGTCTCGAATGACACTCGCTGACATTCACTCAGGCAATCTGGATAGAAACTGACAACAAGAACCCCACTGACATCGGTTGGCAGCCATATCTTGTAGTGTCTCCGACCAGGCACAGTGAGGATCACGCGGTCCCCATTCTGAAAGGCGAGTAGCACCGACAGCACCCAAGCGTTTCGTGATCTCATTCATACTCTGCTTGCGCCACTCTGAATTAGGCATAGAAAACAGCACTCTCTTCGGCAAGCGATGGTTCGGCATACGCAACACATGTCCCAACCAACGCAGCTTCTGGTGCTGAACACATTCTTCAAGGCACTTCTTCAAGGACACCTCGCTCTGAAGTTCTGACGTCTGCGTACTCCCCTTACACATATACTGCCTAGTCCTTAAGTGAACAGCCTGTTATGAGCAGTTACTTCTCCTATCCATGACTCTTCAGACGATACCGCGCTGCACCAGCGCTCCGCCTTATTTCGTCGAAATACCATTGTTGCCCTGAATACCAACCTTGCCGCCTCCCCAGACCTGGGGTTCGACCAGCACAGCTGCATTCAGTCATCGCATGTATATCCCCTTGTCATTGTCCTTTCATCTGTCCACTCTAGACCTATACCCATCCACAGAATTCATTGCCACTCATCTTGATTTACCCTGGTACTCAGACAAATTATTCGTACACATCAAAGGTCTCATAAGCCCCCAGGAAAGTTGGTTCCTGTTTCGGGCATGTGAGTATACTAACCCGTTTTAAATTCTCTGCGTTCCTGTGGAGTATTGCTTGTTATGCACTCGAATGACACTCGCTGACACTGGCAGCATGCTATTGATCTCCCTACCGTTGTATTTTTTTCGCAATTGGCTTATCAAAATCGTTATAAATTCATCATAAAGACGAAAGCAATTCGGTGACCGACCTGAAAATAATTATTAGCTCGTATCACATCATGGGTCTACATAATCCATTTGCAACCAAATTTCATAGAACGGATCATAATTACGTGGTACTGTACAGCTTTGGCTGACATTTGGGAGCATAATAGTCCACTTCATCTCTGCCAGTCGAGATGTGCTCCATCTATTCAAAATGTGTATTATTTCACAGTTGAGTTCCGTGGCGTCATTAAGCGGCAGCATTTTTTTTAAATGGCTATCCAAGTATTTCCCGATGATAGACTGGTGCGCTTACCTGTCCTGAGCTAGCTTCTGGAACAACCAGTCCCTGATCCCTCGTGAACATTCACACCATTTGAATGTTCAGTTCTAAGGAGAAAGCCTTGGCTTTGGTCGTACTTCGAATGCATTTTGAAACGACCGCATTTGCACGCTCATTGATCGTTTCTTCTGCAGGCGGTACTAGCGTCAGGCTTGTTGTGTCCAACTTCTGGGTGGCCTACAGTGGCCATCTGCCATCTAGTAAACATGTGCTTTGAAGAAAACTATCAAGCATCTTCATGTTATTCTGACTACAATCATACTCTTGCATCGGTTTCCTTTTTTCGGTTTTAGTCATTTGGCCAACGTCCGTGTTGACTTTTTGGCCCGGATAAAATATCTGCACTTTGTTTTTACGGTGATGTCACTTCTCGTGTCCTAATCATCTGAGGATATAGGTCAGGACAACCGAATTAACAGCCATATGTTTAAGCTGTGATCGAACGATTGGGCTCATCAATACTTTACAGCGACCTCGAACAAAACAGCTGGAACAGCTCCACTTTAGTCCACATTTCAAGATACCTCTCATCATTCGCCGTGATATGCAAATGAGTCATGCTATGATTTCAGTCGCCAATTTCACTAATCAACACCGGAAATGCGTGCTAGATGTAGACAATTAAGTTCAACTTGGAGTTTTGACATCCTGTACTGTCGTAGCTAAACAGAAGTCAATTGCCGCTCCAAGCGGTTTTTACATTCGCAAGTTTCAGGAAAAGGCAATCTCCTAGTAATAGTAAGATCAGAGTTACCGAGTTTTTCGAGAGCTCTTGACAAGGAGGAGTATTTTGCCTATCGAATCAGGTCTAAGGTTTAAGGAACAGGCCAGAATTTCTCCTTTCTGGAAGCCTTTTTTCGAGAGGAACTAACTGGGCAACCATAAGAAGAATGGCTAGGGGTGCAGCTAAAGCGGGATGACTGTCTTTTGCTCCACCTCAGACGTGCCATCCTACTAATGATTGTCTCGGGAGTGCACACGGGCGTCGCCCTCTGAGACCCCGTCAAAGTCTTACCAAGAAACCCGAGGAAACCAAGTAATCTTGTTCAAATCGTAGGTGCCGTGACTGTCTCCATCCTTTTACAACCAAGACACCGTTACGCTTGCAGGCGATCAACGAACGTGGCTTGTTACCATCTACAGCATCTGACCTGGGCAATCGCTCTGTTTACCAGCGCTATTTAGGTAACAATGGAGTCCCTGAGTTCTCATCTCTCTTCTCCATTTCCTACCTTAGGCAACTTGACAATGTCTCGACCCTCGTGCTTCCTTCGGGTGGCATGGCAGCCAATCACCGAAAGGGTGCTACAGATAAACCGGAAAATTCCCGTAAAGACGTAAAAGTCTACAGAAAATCTCACCCTCAGGTTTGTGCCTAAATGGTGTTCAACAAGAAAGCTCTTTCCTATTCTTTCTGTTCAACTGGGCATTGACCACGATTATGGAGGGATTACCCAAGTAATATGCCGTCAACAAAATCAAACTATTTCCTTGAGAAGAAATAGGCTATGCAGACGAAGTTATACGGCTAGGCTCTTGTCCTGTCAGGTTTTGATTCACCAATCCACCGATTTCGGAATGAACCCTACTCGTTTACAATGCCAATTTCTATTTCAAGATTGGACAGGTACAGGCCCCCATTTTTAGCGAAGCTCAAACGTTTTCTACAGACCTCATCCACTCCTTACGTCTCTACTAATTCATTTTTTTTCACTAACAGCTCTAGAAAACGCCGTCGTTACCAGTCCCCACTATGACCTTTTTGACGAAGGAGCGGCGGGTGCAGTTTTCGGAAGAACTCCCACAAGAAATCCATTCTGGTCATTTCATGGTTAGCAATTTGAACGATTCCGAAAGTGAATCAGAGGATGCAACTACATTCGGACTCGATGACACAGGCAAGGATGTTGCAATACACCCCGACAATTCACTCTGCCGCGAAAAAAACCGTCTTGATTTTGAGGAGTTGGAATCTCTGTTCAAATTTTTGGATATTGCGTACACTGGAAAGCTAACAAGCCCAAAGTGGAACCAATTCCATGGCATGCGGTGCGCCGTCAAGTACAAGATACGGTTGAACAATGTCATTTGGCGGGAATACCATATGCAGTGTTAGTTTTGTACACAGCATTTCCATTCATTCTACTCTTCTTTCAGTTTTGAAGAACATCAAGCCGTTTGTGGTGCATTTCCAGCCACCTCCTCTTGATAACCATGTAAAATCAGAAGTATGTGTTGGTTGTGTTTTCCCCTTAATGCTTTCTGTAGGTCACCATTTTGGAGGGCCAATACTGGAAGCGTAGGCCGGAAACAATCTGTGCCGAATACAACCGCTGGCGTAAATTCACGAGGAACAAGATCTTAGGATTTACCAAACGCAGTATCAGTGATCATGTGGATGAACTATTTCGCCCACCTTCGCAATATTCGTTTCCAAGGAGTTTGGCAGATGACTTTCAGAGCCCCGCTCCTCCAGTTGATGCTTTGGATCCCACTTTCGGTTCCTTGATAGACGATATCATGATGGACTTCGATGAAAATTTGGACTTATTTTTCGGAAAACCGCTTGCTTTTCCTACTCCTAAAGACTTGGCGCTTCTTGGTATAGGCGATATAATGCAACCGGGTTTGTTACAATTTCAACCGGATAATGCTACCACAATGGATGATCCTATGGCGCCCGCTTCGATAAGCGGCCAATTCAGGCGGCCTTCCACGGAACAGCGACCTGTTTATTCCGATATCTTGTCGACAGGCCAGGTCAAAAGTGCTCAGTTGGGTGGGATTGTAGAAAGTTCAGTTCAGCCGCTTCCACAGTTTGTCTTTCAGTCAGTTGCAGAACCATTTGCAATTGTCCCATCTATGCAGGTACGCGAATATGGTCAGCATTCTCAGCAAATCTCAAACAGTGAATCAGAGTTTGAACGGTTGGCGTCAGTTAGTCCGTCCATTCTGCCTACTACGTTCAGTGTTACTGAGGGGACAAATAAGCCAAGTAACGATCAAACTGTCCCCCGTGTTCGTCCAGTATTAACTCAAGATAGAAGACATCGAGACCATACTAACTCAAGGCCATTTACAAAACACAGTCATCAGCAAAATGCCACAATTACTTCTCGAACCCATCCTTTCAAGCGTCATCGAGGTACTGTATCAGGGCGAATCAAAGGCCACTCGTCATCCGCGGTGCTTCAGTCTGATAAAGCTTTGAAGAGTGCATTTCGCAATACATGCTTTGAAGTTTCCACAACAGTGTCTGAACGTGGACAAACGACCTCGGGAACACCCGCTTTACTGAATGCTTTGCTCCGTGGTACTAGGTCCAATGACCCTGAACCCACGGTTCCGGCTAAATCCCAGACAGCACCCGGTGCCCAGAATTTTCCAAACCGCTCTGTACCCCTGCTTTCTTCAGTTCTGACGTCCTCAGCCTGTCGTCCTGGTCTACTGCGCACTCCTGCCGGTCAGTTCGCGGGGCAGACGCAATGTGAACCAATCGCGAAGTCACGTTACTGCTTTTCAGAACCTCATCGATTTCAAGGAACGCCATCTCTGGTTACCGACTGTGTTCAATCCGCGATCGAACCAAGTGCACGTGCGGATAGATATTCAGCTAACGGATCTAACGTGAGTCACGTGTTTTTTACTTGATCTTGAAGATTGTTGATTTTACATTTTTCACGGCTGCTTCCATTCATTGCCTTCTGCATATGGTGGTGGATGCACAAATTAGCTGATCATCAGTCAAAGCATTTGGTTTTTTACTCGGGTGCACGTACTTATTTTGGCACGCTATTGAGCTTATGATGGGTTTGCAGATGGTAATAGGCATAATCTGAGAGCTGTGGTGTGTTTCCTGAGAGAAAGGGAAACCGTTGATGAGATGAGTCCGAAGGAAACGGCAGTTTTTAACCCGACTAAGCCCACTGGTTAGTGCCCTTGTACTTTGTCGCTGGGTCGTAGACTGTCCACCCCTTGGTCTGTTCCACTCACCAAAAGGCTGGGCGAAAAGGGCTTTTCTGGGTATATGGTCTTCTGGAATGTGAAGTACGTGTTCTTACCAGCGTAACCGTGAGAGATCCTTAACCGTCTGGCGTACCTCGTCATTGCTTACCCGATGTACCCACCAGAGCCGGCAAACGCTTCGGAAACACTGTTTGCGAAATACTGACAGCTTTCACACACCCTCTGCGCGTAGAGGCCACGATCCTGATCCATAAAGCAATATGAATTGCACCGTCGCAATGTGTACTCTGCCCTTGTCAGACAAACTGACGTCACGCCAGTGCCATAGGTGTCGCGGTTTGACAAAAGTTACTCTAACCTTCCGGATTCGTTTAGTGGTCTCGTCTCCAGATGATCCACAGGAATCTATATTTCTATCCAGGTAAGTAATTTTATCTACCATATCGTTTGGCTGGCGTGCAAGCATAGGGTTTGGATTTGATCTCACCCACTCTGGTAGCAGAATTTGACACTGTTTAGATCCGAAGCGCATACGAAACCGCCAGGCGGAATAATTTAGGTTAACTAAAATGACTTGCATATCTGAAGAATCTGAACCAAAGGTAAGAACATCGCACCTGTATCCAACGTCTGTGAGCGAACGCTTCGGGAGCATTTCGATCTCCGAGGTTTCAGAGGCAGACAGAAAAGCTTCAAGCAGCATATCAGTGGCAAGGATGATGAGGAATGGTTAGAGAGGACCGCTACACTACTGGACTTCGGGAACTCAGGAGACAGTTTGTTGCATGCCCCTAGGTACTGTTCCCATACAGTGCCCTAATGGATGATGAAAATCGCCATGCACCGCTATCTACTTCACTTCACTTCTCGATCCCACAAACCGTGCAGTGGTTCCAGCCGTTACAGCTTCGTTCACGGAAGATAAGGACAATAAGGCAACGAGAGCCACACGTTGGAGGCAGTGGTCCGATCTGGATGTACGATGCATCTATTTGTCAGGTATGGCAGGGGGTGAAGGCAATAACTTTGGAGTAAGGTCGCCATTGCCTCCGTGACTGGCTGCCAGGGTCACTACTTATTGGTTTATCTAGTCCTATCCTTATCCGGTGAGATGAGAATACCCTTATCCTCACGGTCTTTATCCGAGGAGACGGTGTTTGTCAACGCGACTGAGTTGACTGGCAAGGACCTTCATGTTTTTTTGCTAAGTCGTTGACTGACGGCCACGTGATGGTCCCTATCCGATACAAGGCTGAGCGAGGAGAGTTCTACGGTGCACACGGGATAACGTATTTGGTTGTACAGCAGGTACTTCAGTTGCGAAAAACATCCAGTACGATCAACTGTTGTGGCCCGACCATGTGCTACGCATGCCGAAAAACATCTACGGGGACGATTATTGTTGGTGCAGTACGCTTTCCGAGATGAGATCCCCTGTGATTCATCCTGCGCTTGAGTGGAGACTGCAAGAAATAGGGTTTGGTTGATTTCGGTGGCGCTCATGCTGTCGGTTTCTTTCCATTTTATCTGATCGAGCACTTAGACGTGTAAGCACCTCAGAATGCTTGAGATGGGCCAGCACCAGGTCCCCTCCGTCACCCATCTTTTTCCTTTCTTTTCAGTCCAAGGCCTTAAATATAACTAGATGAACCTTGTGGTTGTACTGTAGTGAGGTATCAGAATCAACATTGATGTTGTCTTTGATGGTTATGATCATGATCATGATAAGACAAACGGTCCTCCGCAACACGAAGTACATGGCTTAATCAGCGGAATCTGTGGGAGTCTGACCAGCTAATCTATCGAGCAAGAGTGGGCTTTCCTTGATCTGGTGTTCATACCGATCTGCGCAATAGTTCTGCAGTAGCTGCTTCGGCGTGTCCGAGATTTAGCGCGTGTGCGTGTCCGTTCGTCGTCCCACCATCGATCTGACGTGTGACTTGAGTGGCTGATTGGATGCGTGTCCTGTTGGTTGGCTCGCGTGAGTGCTGTGGGTTGACTGGATATGTGACTCAGTTGTTTTGCTTACCTGCCACGAAAGCGGAGCAGATTGGCCGGGTGTACTCAATACACCCGTGTCCATACTTACGTGTTCTTCTGACTTACTGTGAACTACAATAAGTTCGCAGGCGCCAATCGTCAAATACGGAGAGTCTCCAAAGTTCTACGTGCAGCGTTCAAGTCACCGATCCATAGAGCAGGAATGATCGTACCGCCGCATTGTATACCCTACCCTTGACAGTCAAGTTGATGTCACGTCGGCGCCTCCCATGTCGGAGGTTGGCAACTGGTGTGGTTTCTGACGATCAAGTGTGAAGACATTCAGATCAAGAACGGCCATTGTTTAACGTTTGAAATTACGGCGCTCTTCAGGAACTTTTCTCAAAGTGAAGATATGTTTGATGAATCCTTGGTTAGTGCAAAACCCAGCTCAATTTTCACGAACCTGCCTCTCCCGACAGTCGATCATTCTACACATAATAATGCCGTAGGCCACCTGGGGTGCTGTGATGGCTTTCGTATCGCCTTCTTGCGCTCTATTTGAAGACCACTGCTACTCTCTTTTTGCTCCAAATCTTCTGTAGTAGTGTCGTCTTACTGCTCACTAGGACTTCGTCACCTTTTCTGAAAGTTCAAAATGCAAACTGTCTGGTCCAGGTACCTTGTCGCGTTGGAGGAATGATATCTGCTGCTGGATTTCTTCTGCTGATGACGGGCTGGTGCGAATGGGTTGCTGTTCCGTCTTTCTCGCAAATTATTTCATTGACAGTCCTCTTTTGATCGGCTAGTCGAACCAGCTGAAATAAGCCACGACTGCTGCCTACTGCGAAAGGCTTCCTCATCTCCTGGGCCTACACAGTTCACCGGCGTTTTCACTTATTCTTCGGGTTCTCGATTAGCTGGCATTTGACGGATCTGAATGCGCCTTGTCGTCGCTAGTTTCTCTTTTGGCAAGATCTTTTGCTCCCATCGATATCCGATAGCCGAGTTGGATGGCTTGGACAGACACTCCTGAAAGTCGGGAGCATATTTCCTTTCCTTCCTTTCCATTTATCCTCTAACCAGTCTACTTCATCAGCATGATTGTGCATCTCTAGTCGTTTCCCGGTCACCTGAATTTCGTTGAGCTACTGAAAGTCGTTGAAGTTAATGAACGGAATCGCTCTGATTCGACATGTGTAGTGCTGACGGGAGGCGAAGTGATTGCCGAGTGGTATGATCGAAGTGGAGTCCATGAGGGTCACCACATACCAGAAGAGTGAAAGGTGAAATATCTGAGGTCATCATAATGAACTTTATGTGCCTGATCGAATTGGGGGTTCGTTTGCTCATCCAGAGACACAACATACGTCGACCGAAAGGTAAAGCAAAGTATCGGCAAGAGGTACCTGTTTCCCGATTTGACAGATACTGCGAATATTGAAAGGCGTATCAGATCTCAGTTTAGTAAGACATTGCTTTGGTTTATTTTACGGGGTGATGGCTAAGGGCCTGGTAGATGGACTGAAAATAGTGAACTAATTAATAAGTGGGGAGGGATGTGTTTTAAAACCGATGAACGAAGAGCTGCTACGGCGAATGATACTTCTCGGTTGCTTCGGCAGAAAAGGGGGTTAAGGTATCCTAACCATGGACTTTGACTCAAAGGTCCGGCCCATAAGGCAGTAAGATGCAGGATTTTCTTGGAGGATCCTCTCCTCAGCCAAAGATTCGATAGTCTGATCGGCTAGGGGGACTGGCTTAGCACAATGTTTAGCTTGGCTGTCTCACTCCTGACGTTGCTGCTCATAGCAGGTGCGTTTGGGGCCTTATCAGAATCTTGATAGGTCGTAATTGTATTTCCCTCTTCTCCGGTAGTTCGCAATCGGTCACGGCCAACCGTTGGGCGATCGACGTTTGCGGCATTTTGGGCCGACTTTCCCCGACTCGTCCATCGTACCGCAAAAAGATGTTTTAGCCCGTCCGTGGGCATGGAATTCCCATTCACATTTTGACACGATTCAGTAAGGATCCTTCTCATACATTATGGATGTGAGGACCCGCAACGAGGGCACCTGTGCGGCTCCTGTGAATTCCCACTGAGAATCTGAGAGTAGGCACTTTTCCTGACGTCACTCAGTTTGTTTGGAACTATACTGAAAATGTCTTTTCCTACGTCACGTTTTTGATATTTAAGCTTTAAGATGAAATATCTTCGAGCGCAAACACGATGCTGGGTTGTGGCGTTCTCCAGTGTCCTGAGCACCCCTTAGATCAAGGACAAGATGACCATCCATCCCTAAACGTTTGAGCTTTGTTTGAATGACTGCTAAAAGTCATGCTGTTAATTACTGTGCTCTGGACAAGCGTCCTCGGTCTGCGGTATATTTTCTACGTATGAACCTTTTAATCCTCTTCACCCAATACCAACACATTGTCCCTGGGTCCAGTTTTGAGTCATTGGTTTCAAGTCTGTTCTGCAGTATATGGCTGTTTTATGCTTTTCTGTGAAAATTCACTTTGGATCGCTTTCCGTTTGCCTTTCTATACCAGCTCATGTCCAACGAATCCTCGCCTTTGTCGAAACGGCCGACGCTCCCCGATGCTGATAACCATTCTGGTTCTCTGCATACCCCCTCTTTTACAACCGAATGTCGTTCCGCTGCAACTCCTTCTACTATGCTCACACCTCCATCAGTCATGATCAGACCGAGCGGGCTTCTTTCTGATCAATCTTCTGTTGTGCCCGGACAGTTTGTAACTCCCGCTCAGGTGAACTGTATTTCCAATGTCTTGAATGCTGCAGGATTCTCCAACACTCCAGATATTATTCAGTCAGCTCCGATCCTTGCCAAGGATGAAAAGCTACTCAATACGGAGTACACGCCAATGGTCAGTCGTCGGTTTAGTGACTTTGACGGCGTTCCTCATTCATCGGGGCATACTTTGAGTAGTCTGACATCCAATACGTCATCAATGCCTTTTGCTCTGTCCAGTGGCCTTCCTCTAAACCCACCCTCTTCCGCAAAACCAGCTTTTCCTGTATATACTCCTTACAACAGAACAAGCAGGCAACGGACGAATTCCGGCACCCAAACTTCAAAAGCCCATCCTCTCGGTAACGTATCCATCGACGAGCTTCGGTGGCCGGACAACAATCGTATGCGTGCAGAATGCGCTCCGGAAACCGTCGGGTTGCAGCGGACTTCGACTGCTTCGTCGAGAAGGCATGATTTCTTCCTTCCATCTGGCTCTTTGGATTCCTGTGGTGATGAGGATCTCATGGCTACAGACTGTAAGTCACATCAGAGACCGGTCGCTACAGTTAGTACTACTACCACTGCCAAAAATAATATTAACAATACGGATTTTCGTCTTTCGCGTATAGTTTTACTGTCATCAGATTTGCATAAACTGGTTCGGCAAGTACAAATTCCGCGGTATTGTATAACTAGTTGTGCGGTTGAGTGTTTGGAAACAGATTACCTCGATGAACTTGCGTGAAGGAGTTTTAAATAACAATGTGGCCACACATATGTGCGTACCGTAGTATGTATTGTTTCTTGTAAGTCTACAAATTGTTGATACATTCTTATCAAGGGACCGACAAATGTCCAATTGGCTTATGCCCCGATTTCTTTCGTGTGCTCTTGCGAACTAGTTACGAAGCAGTCCACGTCGGTGCAAGCTGTCGTGAATTGAAGCGAAACGGGAGGAGCCGTTGGGGATACTGTTTTTACGAACAATGCCTCTATACGGTCGGTTGAATTGGCTAGAAATATATCGCTTGAAAAGGTCGGCCGAGTACTGGAATTTGCGATGATGGTTCAGTTAAGCTGTTTCATTCTTGATGCGGTCTACATAATGAACCTGTACACAATAGCGCTAAAGTATTGGTACTTCTTTGCCAGTATGGACCGCCTTGCTATGGTTGTGAGGAAAATCAGGCATGCGATTCCGGAATGTAAACAAATCTCCGAATCGCGCTGTGCCGTAGACTTGTTTGAAATTAGTTTAGTTTAGTTTTAGTTAATGCCGGTGCAAGACGAATGGATTCGCCCACGTGGAGTGAGTTAGTAGTGGAGTGGGGCGAAGAAAAAGTGGGCGAAAGAGGACGAAGTTGCCTTTTTCTTTTACCCGCCCTGCTGTGTGCAGAAAGTAAGGTGACCCGACTGATATGGGAGTATTGTTAGTTTTTTTATGGGCTGAGATATTGCTAGGACGCTCAGACCTGGAAATGAGGACGATCAGCGTCCTCACCCAAGGCCCCTGACTCAGAAGCATGACATCAAGGCAACGGCGTTTGACGGGAAATGCCGGTACATTGCCTTGTTTCAAAGAGTAGGTCGCTACACTTGTTCCAACCCCTAACCTGCAGACCGTGTTGGTCAACTCCATAACCATTGACCAACCTTATAAAGGTGACTGTGCGAGTATTGCACGGACACCCCAAGTGTAGCTCAGTGGGCCATGGAGTCACGCGAACCGTCACTCCATTGTTAAAGTTTATCCAGTGGTGGTGTATAGTTCGCGAATATTCTTTCAGTGTAAAAAACGGTCGATGTATTTGTCGTCCCTTGTTCAATCTTGTTATTTGGGTCATCACGTGTGGAATGAACGGAAATGTCAGTTTCTATGTGGTGTCGACGGTCAACTAGCCGCCTTGTTTCAAACGATCATGTGACCTGAAGGCAATTTACTTTCGTGGATTCTCAGGTCAAACTTCTCTTTGATTTAGGCTTTTACTAAGCTAGCCAATTATCTCCCATGTGCGTCTATGACGCCACTGATATACATCCTACGGCCACAATGAAGTCGTTCGAGGCCAAACGTTTTCTAAGCATAGGGACCTATTGTGTCAGAGGTTTAAGTTGACGCAAGCATGCCAGTTGTATGGCCGTAGCGGAGCTTAGATACTAAGGTACTTGCCAGCTCCAAAAGCTACAAGGTTTTTGGCATTTTTGGGGTTTGGGGCAACTGTGGACAAAATACAGGACAGTTAACTGTGTTGCTACTGATTGATTGGGATCACCCGGGTTGTTGACCGAGTGAAAACTCTACGCTTGTCCGGTCCGGAGTGTTGTGACAGTCCGTGGGAATCTAGGAGGTCATATGTACATTCTTCGTTGACTAAACACAATCATATACGATATCCTCCTTTAAGAAGTTTCCACGAAACCGGACAAGCTGGTTAAATTATGACAGGAAAATGCCAGTTTTCTGATCGGCATAAGCTCATATTCTTCAAAAGTTACTTTGCTTCCACTCCCATTCGCTCATTTCACATTCCCTATTTATCTAAAGCCCTGTTCACGCTGTTGCGCCGGATTTCACCAGGCGCCTGAAAGGCCTGACTTCCACGTGCCTGATTTTCCAACTCCATACGATTGTCTCAACATTCTTGACTTTTTCATTGTCAGTATGTATCCACTTAGTTTTTTTACCGCCTTTTGGCACATAGCAACTCATGCTTTTGCACAAACATGCTCCATTGGATCAATACGTCGGTGGTTTACATGACTCACTAGTACTCAGCCTCGTCACCTCGCCCACGGGTGCGACAACTGTTTCCATCCGTCAGAGACCCAGAATGAATGCGTTGTATGCCGAGGTAGTTGTGTTCGGGACTTCGACGGACATTTTACTGCCTTGTTTTCCGGACAAACCGGTTGTTTACTGCTTTTTAGCAAGAAAAGCTGTGCTTACCCTTGCCACTCTTTTTGCATACTTCGTTCCTTAAATTCGGGCTCGTCCTCGATGTTTGTTTGATGCAACCAAGTATTATTAGCGGTTTATGTTAGCTGCAACATTCATTAGTTTGTTACCATGGCAATTATCAGATGCTCGTTGTTGTTGTCTGTGTGCCGTATCTGCGTTACGCTGTTACCGGAATTTTTCTTTTTGACGCATCTTTCGCCGTGTTTTCGACGCGGTACACAAGTTCATATCCAACTCACTTACTGTGGTTTTTTGTTGTTATTTGTTGGTTCGTGCATTGTCTGTCTGTGTGATTCAGATCTAGTTTACGAGAGAGAAAACACAAAGTGGATACAGTCACCGCACTTACTACATAAACTCTGTTGATTTCCGCAAGGCCAATTTGTTGTTTTTGTTTGTTACCGCAGCCAATCAGCTCTAAGGAAGTTAGGCTGCTCTTGAGGGTTTTATCCTTTTTGAGTCACCGTCTCGATTCGCATTGTTTTCTAAAAAAGAAACTCGCCAGAGTAGTTGTCTGAAACGACCATATCATCATCACCATCATTGTCAGCTGTACTAACCGCGTACTTGTCGTACAGTGATTGTAGTTGCCACAGTTTCGTTCACCGATGATTCGGGGAGGTGGGGTAGGTAGCTGCATATTGGAGGTGGGAGCTGGTAAGCTAGTACATAAACGACCATAAGGCTTCTTCATGTGCGAAAACTGAATCTGTTTGTAAACTGCTAACCTTTTCTCGTGAATACATCGCGTGGGTTGTAAGTTGGATATGGGGTTACCGAACCGAATGGCACCGAATTTCGGTGTTCTACACGATCCTCGGGTGTCAAATATTCCGGTTGAAACGCGACTGAGATAAAGTTGGTGGATTATGGTGACTCTGTCATTGGTTTACACCTGGTTCCCACATTTTGTTTCCACAATCAGTAAAAACCCCACGACAACTGCTGGCGAGGTCGCCCGAAAACCGCTGCTCCGAAGAGAGGGGGACACTGTAAAGTGTGCTTGTCGATGAGTTAAAGTGCTTCCTAATTTAATACCAGGTTCATCCACTTTAGCCTAGGAGCGAATTCTCTCCAGCTGTGCTTATCAGAAATGTGAGTTCATCATCCATGGATAATCGAAGGAACTCGACAAGACTTACCAAAAGTAGTCGCTGTGTAGACCTGTGTCACTGGTTTCAGACATTGTATTTCACGTCTTTGAGACGGAGCAAGTGTTTGTATGCTTATCGCTCACATCGTATGGTGTTCCTCTCCTTTGATGGTATTAAACATTCATTTATGTGAGCCCCATCCCGCTTGTTTGGACGGAGCGACTGTGTTGATTTTGTTCGCTGCAACGATAAGCTATTTCACGCCAACTGTGTAAGCCAGCAAAACATGCTTCCTCGTCTGGCTATCTTTGGAGAAGGCGGCTTTGAACGTACCAGTACCAGTGGCGACGATCAAGACAGCACAATCAGCCTGGTTATTTTTTTGTATCGTGTTGGCGGAACTCTGCGTCGGTGGCCGGATGTGATGTGGGCGCTAGAAAGATTATCCCTATACTTTACCACTCACTCGACGCTCCTAAACTTCTTCAGGATCGGTTGGTGTGCTTGTAGGGTTGTCGTCGTAAAATTCGTGATTAGTACAGAGGCATCCTTCATCACATCGGAACGTAGTAAAGCCCATAAAGTTGGCTTCAGAATCAGGCGAATCACCGTTTGACCAGGTCTTTGTTCATTCCGCCACTTGTATCGAAATTTGAGATCGTGCAATTTCTGGTTCGTTAACTTTGTTCATGATGCTTTTGCTATTCGTTCATATTGTCACGACTGGTCATACCTACAACTTCTCAACGAAGAGAGATTTACCCAGAAGCTGTCCACAGGTCAGTGGCGGTTGTGATTATAATACTTATTTTTTATTATATACTACATAATAGCTGGCATCGGTCAACAGTACTCAAACCATTGGTCATCTGCAAATAGTAGGAGAGCCTTTTATTTCCAGTAGTACCGGGCAGTTGTGGAACGCACAGACTTCCAACGGACCTATTACGATGCACTTGATCTAGCTATTCTCAGAACAGTATTCACACGGGCCAAAGGTCAAATCACAACCCGCTGTTCTAGTCTGGTTGACATCTCTTGAGGCCATATCGCCTAACTGATCCTTTAGATGGTTTTGCACGTCAAAAAGTTTGAATTTTCAATTATTTTGAAAATTCCACCGGTCGAGCGCACGAAACTGTGGAGTCACTCAAATGCCGAGCAAACCACCGTCAAGAATCCGCCAATAAATGTCTTCTCAGTATTGTCCACTCTACTGTATATCTCATTTCTAACGGAATGAAGAGAAAGGACGGTCCCTGTATCGCAGCATGAAGCTTGTATTGGTTCGATTGAGAAGCCACTGTGTCTTAGGCTGTATCATGTTTTACTCTGTATCAGTCCTTTTTTCGAGGGGCATACTTCATCCGGAGATGTTCGGTTTATTGGGTTACCTAAAGGCTCTTACGTGGATTTCGAGGCTTCACATTTACTTCTGGTTCCTCTTCAGTGCCCCCACCGCTTCCTACAGAATCGCTTCCCACTGTCGAAACTTCCTTATCAGCGCGAGGACGTTCCAGCTCCGCCGGGAACCTGTTTCCCTTACAACATCCTGTGATGTCCAAGCCAGACTTAGCCAACAAAATATCTAGTTTGGGCAGCACGGAAATTCTCTCATCTACGATGTGTGGCCAACAACCACTGGTTTACACTTCCCCCTCTTGTTCTCCTCAACCACTGACATTTCCGGAACCTGGCTCGTCTCCCAAGACTTCTCACAATAACACCACCGAAGACCGTCGTCGTCATTTAATGCAAGTCAAGTTGGAGACTTTGAGGCAATACATAAAATACTACGGAGGACACCGTCTGTCTTCCCGCAGATCGGAAAACCGTGAACTCACGAGAACCCACAACTCTCCATCACAGGCCTCCAATTGTGCAATGGCGGATGCAGTGCTAATGATGCCAAAGTTGCAAGATGACTCGACTGGTGAACTTCTTCCGCTTCTTAAACGCCCATCCTGCATAGTACCACATGCTGAGGATCCAAGTCGAACGTTGTCTTCAGAGCAGAACAATCGGACTTCATATGCTGCAACGCTTTTTGAAGCGACCGCCTTGATTCGCATGTTGCGTGAGGCTAGCGACAAGCGAGATGCACAGATGAAATCTCTAATGAGTCAAATTAACTCCATACAGGCAGCTACCACGTAAGTTTGTTTTATCGGTATTCGGTGCTGTTCGTCGTTCCGCGGTCTGTTTCAACTGCGTGCTAGGTTATCTGAAACCGGCTCTCTCCATTAAGAGGGAGAATTGTGCTCCGTCACATTGCTTACGTTTGACCTGATGGTGCTCTCCTGCGACAGTAATTTTTCAGCTGCTCGATCGACTCATGTCCTGGCAAAGTCTTACGCGTGTGCCCGTTGCGCAGTAGGTGATTTATAAGAACACGGTAGTCAGCGAATAAACAAAACTACAATAAAGGCGGCATCTGTACCAAAGCTTATGGTATCACGAAAATGGGGATGACAGAAAGTAACAAAGTATCACCGTTCTCTCCGAGGAATATCGTTTCAGCCCTTATGTACGATAACCAGATGGAAAAAAGATGAGAATCATGCGGGGCCGTTGGATGTTGATGCAAGCTGCGTAGAATCTTGAAATAACGTGTACTTGATGTTAATTGTGAAGAAATGACATCTACTAATGGTCGAGGGAGCCTTCAGAGCATCGAAACAAGTGATCTTTCACTGAACACGGTCTGTAGAATCCATGGAAATTTGGAATTATTCCTACGGGCGTTGTGAGGCATTCGAAACTTGTAGTGGATGGTAATCTGGAACGAGTGTCCTCGGGAGCAGAGACGGTAGTTCACTATTGCGAAAACAAGCAGTTTTTGTCACCGGGCGAACAGTCGCTTCAAGAGAGCCTCCAGCGGAAGACAGTGATGAACGGAGGTTAGAAAATAGAGTTTGAACAGGTGATGACCTGTTACGGTGTATAATTACCGAATAAAAAGTTTGGTGAGTCAACGTTCAGAGCACACTATCCTTGAGAGTCCATAGAGGCAGCGCTGTTGGACGGGAGTTCGATTGCCTGCGGTTAGTCTTGTCAATGTGTGTATGATCGTTTCAGGTATCCCAATTAAACAATTTACGCATAACAAAAATAGCATTCTAGCTATTCCGACGTGGGGGCATAGTCGCACGGCTCTGTTCCACATGATTGTTCCGCTGCGCAGTAGGCTGATGCGTAGCCGTATTACCCTTATAGACGATCTGCTGAGGCGCAAACAGATTGGTCGATTACTCAATAACCCTGCGATCCGGCTGATGTTTCTCGTCATTTGGAGAGATCTGCGTGACTCAGTTTCCTCACAGCATGATTCCGTTTCACCAGATATCCGTGGCATGGAGCGGTCACCGGTGGGTTGTTTCCGTATTGATGACCTCTTGACAGAAATTAATATGATGAATACGAGACTGCTCTCTATCCATGGAGTATCGAAACAAATGCCGTCTCAATTGAAAAACCAGGCCAAAGCACATTCAGTCGAAAAAGGCATTGTGAACAAGAGATTCAGGTGCAGTTCAGCCGAGTCTCCTGTCAGCACCAAATGAGTGTCTATGGTACCATACGCACAATGTGGTGTCATCGTCATCAACAGCATAAAATGTGTTCAGCACTGATGCTTCGCTGCCCTACAATCATGATTTATTTGTAAACCTTATTTTGAAAAACGGAATAAAAGTGGAAGGAGAGGGAACTAAATGCTAGCCTACCACAATTATCCCGTGGTACCTACACCTCCAGACACTCATTCAGGCACTCTGGTTAGAAACTGACAACACGAACGCCACTGGCATCGATTAGCAGCCGTATCTTGCAGCGTCTCCAATCAGGCGCAGTGGGGATCTCGTGGTCCCCAATCCTGGTAGGCGATAGCACTCACAGCACGGTTGATGGCAATTCGGGCACCAAGCTTACTTGGTGAGTCTGAGGAGGGGCAAAAACATCAATGGGCTGTCCAGTATTTTAGTCGACCTAACTAACAGAATTGAAAATATACGGTGTTTTTCGGTAAGATGAGAAAAGACTCATGAAAACAACAGGACCAGTTAGGAGCTAGACCGCATATACTTTCTAGGACAAAATACGAAGAATATTATCAAGAGTGTGCTTTGAAAAGTTCCAAGGAAGAAATTTGTGTAGAAAATCATGACATAGTGGAGTGTCGTACCGAGAAATTTGGGGATTCTGGACGAAGTTCAGTTCATTCGATCAGCGATGTTCTATTCTATTATGTGTAGAGTCAGCGTTTCGGATCCTTAAAGCGACCGCACTACCTCGGTGTACAGCCTACTGTTGACAGACAGATTGACGTCACGCTGACACCTTGGGCGCCGAAGGCTGGTAAAAGTTGCACCGGCCTTCCAGGCTCACCAGTGATCACGTTTGGAGCCAATCCACTGACGAGCTAAATTAATTTAACTACCAAGCCGATTGACTGGTCCGCGGGTTGTAGACGAGGACCGTTGTCATTTAATTCATCCAGCAACAATAACAGACGCCTATCTTTTGTTAATTCTTGCTCTACTTTATTTCTGCTGAATTCGCCCAAACGGTATGCTCTTTTGCACACCTTGAAGATTTTTATCAAAATGTTCAACTGGAGCCTGCTTAGCTTTCGATTTCAGGATCAGTTTAAAATACAAGTTAGTGATTTTCCAATACCGGTTTCAGTTTCTCTTCTTTAGGTTCAGGTTTTTCGTCACTGGCAGTTGCTTGGTGCATCTTCCATGTTCTTCTGCTGTCCTCCTGTAGAGCTTGCTGGGAGAAAGTGGACCCAATGGGAGCCGTGCCAAGTCGACAACTCACAGAACCTTTTCTGACCGATCCTGCGAAAGAATTCTTTCGACGCTACACTGAGCAACGTACTAGTCATTGTTGGAAATTTTACGTGTTCAGCTTATTCCTTTGGGAACTGTTTCAATCCTATTGGTCGTCCGTTAATTCCACCTCCATGGATCAGTTTGTGAGATCACTTTATGGCTGGTTGGACCAGCACTGTTCCCGAGCGCAGTTACGACCAGGTAAGTGAATCGCGTTTTGTCCATTTTCCATCTAGATCTCTTAGTGTTTGATTTCTTTATTGTGATATCTTCACTTTAGACTACATTCAAGCTTAGTCACACATTTTCGATAGCCGGTGGCTACTTATCAACCGTCTTGACCGGATTTCTTCCTCCTAAGTGCATGGAATCCGTCACATGACCTCATACTTAGGAGTTTCAGTTTCGCCTTAATATAGAAGACCAGGGCTCTCTCAAAAATATGCTGCACCGCTCTCCCACGTACACGGAAGTACTCTTGGTCGCGTTCGTATAATCATCCGTTTCCTATATACTATGTAATGATCGTTCTTTCACTGTTTCAAGCTCGGTGGGAGTTCTCCGAAATTGTCTCGAGCAGTTCCGGTTGCGTCTCCGCTGCTTTTCATTATGAACTAGCACTTTAGAACGCGCCAGTAGATGAGGGTGTGCTGTCACTCATTTGGGTATTTAAACAGATCGATTGAGCAATGCTCATAAGCACAAACTAATCGTTGTTCACAACTGAGCCAACCCTATCTGATGGAAATTAGCCCCTCGGCGCGCACAAATCCATCTTCGACATCACCTTTGCATGTGTTGTTCATATGAGCGCCATTTTTGATCCTCCTGCTAATGCGTCGACCCATCTTTTAGAGCCACAAAGGACACCTCATTTATATGTGGTAAGAATTCGCCTTCTTGAGTGAAATACCTCCGAAAACCGCACAAAAAGCATTGCTTTGTAGAAAAGTCATGCACGGTATGTTCATGAATCACGGCAGAAAAACAACCAGGTGTATATCGGTGCGGTTTCGAAAAAAGCTACTTCGGTGCGACCCAATAAACACAGGCGAACATACCGACCACAACGGTTCGCAGATCAGATAACACACCCAGAAAGTCGTCTTTCAGTTCCTGGTTTAATCCAGATGCTACGCAATCCCTCGGGGAAAATTTACAGAAGCTTCGTCATCCTTATGTGTTTTCACCCAGTTCGTTTTGCAAAACTGAACAGTTTGGTTCAGTCAGCTGACTATCGACAGCAGCATCGATGCTGCACCGCGTGACTGAACTACACAGAGGAATTATTAGAAGTTTTTCGTTACCAACATTTACCACAAACCATTCCGACTTAACCATGTACGTGACATTCGCAGCAGAGCCATACTCACAGCCTTTAAGGCCCTCTGCTGATTGTTCAAATATGATCGAATGGAAACGAGATAGCCCACGCGTCTGGTCAATGAACTGAATACTATAGCGCATAAGTTCTTCAGTAATGAATAAGGTAGAGCTCAAAGATAAACTACGAGCTCTAGGAGGCACCTGGTATACTGGAGGTTAGTAAAAATCCCGTGGCAGGCGAATCGTACGTTTCATCGCCTGATCTGATTGACCGGTCACAGAAGGTGGGACATTCGTCAGACAGTCAACGAAAGGGGTCACTCAACAATCCGTCCTAACAAACAATTTGAAAAGATGGGCTGAACACTTGCAAGAACAAACCTTCTGCTCTGTACGACCTGAATTTTAAAAGCAATTTACTGCCTAAACGCAAACTATATGAAATCTGCCTCCTGGATCGTGGCACAATCTGCGATTGTGGACTTAATTGGAGCAGTTTTCAACGCAGTCAGCGAAACCCTGTTAGTCTGTATGGCGAAACTAGTTGAAATGAAGAAGCTTGATGGCGGCGAATCATTTCTGTAATCAAGAAGGATGCATAAACAATCTAAATGAGAATTGTCAAGGCATTATTCTGGTAGCCGCCGCCTCTAAAGTGCTTCCTGTTCCTATCCTGCTTGGGTTCACAGAAAGCGTTCAGCTGTAGCACCCTTCCGGTGCCTAGCTGCCATGCCACCCGAAGGAAGCACGAGGGCTGGGATACTGCCAGGTTGCCCAAGCCTAGACAGTGGAAGTCGAGTGGCGGAGGTCGGATTCGAACCACGGACCTTCCGGTCAGTAAATTCGCGCTCTAACCACTTGGGCCATCTCGTTCACAAAAGGTCAAAAGAAACGTATGTTTTCAATTTCTTTGACGGTGCATAGTCCACGTCTTCACCCTCCAGTAAGTTCTGAAACAGGGCGCGATTTCGGACAGCCAACAGTAGCTATATGTTATTGTTTGAAGGCTCCTTTCGATCTCCTGGTTGTCTGTTGAGCCAAGGCGTTTTGGCTAACAGGGTGAACCCTCTAGTAGCATTGAACGCCAATTCGGGGCTATCAGTATGGCGTACCATTGAACCATACATCCTATTCATCTTCATTCTATTATCACTGTGCTCATAGAACGCTTCCTTCCTGCCTCCGACACCCGCTCATTGATAATGATCCCATACTCCGAGCACACAGACCATCTGACTCACATAAGGTAAGATCTTACAGTAATGCAGAAACTATTAGAGAATCTCAGTAATTCTCGTTAGCTCCTGTCCCCAGCAGAAGAGCTCTTTTAACCTAGGATCTAACGACCTACGCTTTGGAATGGAAAAGGTCATCCCGACAAAACATGAAAGTCACGGAGGATGGAGGACAACAAAGCACCAGTTTCTGTTTGACTTTCCCAATAACTGAGAGGTAAAAAGCCGAGACAACAAACGTAGTTTTCGTGATCCCGGCGAACATGAAACGTCTAGAGGGAAAGGTGTCGGTCGCGGAACAGAACCTCGTTTTTTTCGGGATACCTAAGGCGTAGCCATTTTATCAGTGTACTTCCAAACCAACGAGATGATAACCAGTTGTTGATTGTGATTTTCGACTGTGGTCACCAGAACGAGAAAGAGAGGGATGTTGAGCGTGAACTTGTGGAGATGGCGGCGAATATGCAGAAATTCGCAAGGAATGAAAGTGGCTACGTTCGACTGGATGTAATGGAGAATCCTCATAGGGTGTTCTTGGTTTGTTGACTGTCTGCACGGGATCGTCATGAAGTGGTGGTGAAGGGCAAGATGCGCGATCAAGTCGTTCATAGCTGTGCTGTTCAACATTAAACGATTGAATAGTCCCTCAGATTTACTGCAGAAGAATCACTTATACGTCGGTTGGTCGCTCAACAGGAGAACTGTACAGCTACGGTGGTGAGGTGCGACTCAAACGAATTGTGAAGCGTAGTTCCGGAGCAAAGTGGGCGGGAGGCGGTCCGCTTAGAGAGATTTCAATACGTCAAGGGAAAAGGGGACTTGCGTTTTGATGAGGCCCACCCAATAAAGCAAAGTGGGTAGCGGCTTGGGAGTAAACAGGATGTCCATCGGGTGCTGAAATTTTTAAAAAGAAAACTTCTTAGAAGTGAATCAGAAAATTTTCTGATGATGATAAGTGTGCTGCCTGATTCTAATGTCACATTGGACCGCCTTTTATCTGTTCCGTAAAGTCACAGTCGCTTTTTCCGGACACGGTAGGCGACTACCGACCGTTTTGTCTTCATATATATCACCACGCCACACCCACTAGGTGGACTGCAGTGCGTTTAGGCGTAAACAGCTGACGTGTATGTGAAATGCTGTGCACCTCTTGTCCACATGGCTAGAATATTAGACCGCTCGGTTGTTTATTCTTTGATACGCATCCGTGAACTGGCTGTCTGACTGTGGCTGCTGGGTACCGGAAGTCCGTACATCCTCTGACATTCGCGGTCCTCCTCCATTCTGGTTTCTCTATATCTCGCTCCACTTCTCTGTGCACATTCGGTCGGCCACACCTTAACTTGATTACTGTTACGCGGAACCGTAGCTTCGATCTGCCAGCTACTGTAGGGACGTGTCTGTACTTGTATCTTACGATTTCGAACGGTTTTCGTTGCTGCTCCAGCGCATATGCTTGCTTTACACTGATTGTCAGTCGGTAGCAGTGTTCATGCACAGCTCAAACTGAATGCATACCGTACCAGACACGTGAGATTTCAGCAATGTCACATAACCACTTCAAGTGGGTGCACAGACATATCGCACAGAGAGAAGCGTGATGAATTTTTTCTCTGTGCTTAACCGCACCCTCTCGGCCTGTTCTGACCTGCTTAATCGGCTGATATGCAGTTACGGGGTTACCTGTCACCACTAACGAACCGCTGAGACGATTGTGTGCATTTGGGATGATTTGAGTGGTTAGCGCTGAACCTGAATCTGAAAACGGATCCTAAATCAGACGATCGACCAGCAGCACACTGACGTTGTCTGAAGACTATTCGTCCATCATAAACGAGAGATTCAGCTGGTTTCAGCGGAGTCTCCAGTCAAGACTGAATTCGTGTGTAAATGAGTGTTTGAGAAACATAGACAGCTTCATGGGGTTTTCAACCGGTCTAAGCACAAGAACGTCGCAGTGATCATTCGTCTTCAGTATTGCTTTTGTGTAGACTCAGGTAACCTGATAGCATCTCAGCTGCTGCGTTTCTTTCCAGTTGAACGGTATCTAGGCACCGACGGGGTGCCGTAGCTGATTGTCATTATTTTCTTTTCTGGCATCTTGAACGTTCACTTGTCCTCGTCATTAAACTGTTCCGTTCAGGTTCGCATTCCACTGTATCTCACACTATCACAAGAGCAGTTCACAGTCCTTTTAGGGATTTTTCCAATGTTTATAATTGTAAGAAAGCACTGGGCTACCGGTGCACTGAAGCTGTGACAGACATCTTATACCTTTTGCTCTAGAATGCCTGAGTTATACTGGCAGTAATTCCAGACAGAAGATTTTTGGGTCTCATGTTTGTTGTCCTTGCACAGTTTCGCTTGTGACAGAGCCCATCAATTTGTTTGAAAGAGCCTTTCGTCAAGAGCCTTCTCAAGTCATCATATCGGTGACTTTTGAGTCAGTTTCTCAATTGATTGTATATACTGTGTTCCAGCGCGCTGTTTTTCGACAAACAATCCTGTTATATTGCCCAGAGCTTTACATTTGGTTAGGCTGTTTTCCCCTTTGGTAATTTAAGTAACCTGATTAGTCATGTCTTGATTTACTCCCCAGATTTGGGGGATCTTGCGGAAACAATTTAGCTGAAATAGGTTTATTGAAGCATCTCATGCTCCAGTTGGAATGCTTCAGCAGCCATTCGTTCTGTGATATTGATATCCGCGCGCATCTGGTGGTCTTCTAAAATTAAGTAAATAGTTGCCGATCCAGTTGGTCCAACTGCATTTTCTGGAGTCCACTTTTAAGCCTTCGTGCTTTGACAGGCCGTGACTGTCAGCAGACTCGTGTGATTTTCTGTGGCACAACCTCTTGGTCCTCATTGCCAGTTCGATCGACTGTCAGCTTGATGAATGTTTGGAGGAGATTCTATTAGATGAGTAACTCATTGACTTGATGTCACAAGATTTTCCAATAAACCAAAAATCGGGAAGACCATATCCAGGTACATCCTAGCTGTTAGATTGCACAGAAAATGTCTGAAATACATCATTCCGTCTATTCTGTATTTCGAACTTCGTGAGCTTTACGATTTATAAAGACAGTTCCCAATCACTCGTGCTTTTTCTGCACTTGTATTTTCATTCTGTTTTTATTGTCATGATTGCGACATCCGGCCCCGTGCATTTTCTATCAGGCAACTGATTTTCTCTTTTTACAGCCATCGTAGAAGCTTTGTGCAAGTTAGCCATCACAACCAGCGTACTTCACAATCCCAGCGAACTACCAGACGAGTCTCTCAAAGCTGTACATCAAGTCACTACGGGGCCTGCAATTGATCGTCGTGTGCCTGGCTTCAGTCAAGGCGAAGTCGAAATGACTACCATATGTGGCACTCATAGTTAGTATATGCGTGTGTGTGTGTGTGTGACATCATCAACCCCCAACCACCCCTCACTTATTTTCATCGTTTTTCACTGTGATGTCCTGATTTTGCTTCCTCCGAATCACTCTCAACTTTGGCCAGACAAACTCTCACCTAACCGACTTTTCGTCGAGCTTAAAGGACCAACGTATCAGCTCTCTGATGCTTTCATGCAACCAGACCGTCATTTAGTGTGATGCACTCATTAGTTCTGATCATCCTGCTAATCCAAGTAGCTGATTCATTTGTCCAAGTTTGGTTTCCCCGTCTGTCCATTTGTCCCGTATTTTAGGTCAGTCATCGGGCTACTATCCATTGCCTCACAGTGTTGCCAGATCATTTTGATGGTTGTATGTATATATGGATTTCGAGTAACTTTGTGATGAAGATGAAATTTCCCCTTCCTTGTCAGATTTGCTGTGTACAAAAGGAGAAAAAACATGTCTTTCACTCAGTACCTTATCTGATCCTTTGCACTATCTGCTGTTGTTGATTTTAATCTGAATTTCAAAAGAGAGAGAGAGAGATGATTTCGTTCGAAAGAAATCCTTTTTTCGCCTTTTTTGTTGGACGCAAGTGCAGGTGATTACGGCGGTCCTTACGAATTTCAGTAGTTGTTTTAGCTTCAACAGAAGTCGCTGCATGAATTTCCATAGCCAGTCATTTTGGATAATTTGCCCCATACATGTGTTTCAAGCTCACTGGATCGCGTTTTCCTGACTCGAGTATAGCCTATGTGATCCTATGTGATGTGGTTCATGGTCCCCGGCTTTGTGGTTCCTCTGAGTGTTTGGGATACTGCGATCGATCCACGCTGGATTTTGACGTGAACGGGTGGCCAAGCGCCGATCGAGTCTCTACGAACACATGTGGTCTACCAGCCAACAATAAGTTGATTGACCATGGTCTGCTCGCAGTGGAGATGGTCAATCATGACGTCAAGTCAGTCCACTGACCGGATTGCTACCAACACAGGCAGTGAGTCGGATAAGGACGAGGTAGAATAACTATAGTTTGGATGAAATAACGAAATAATCAACCATATATATTACGTCGTCATTCAGTTCATCGCTTGGATGAAGGTCTGTCGACACAGAGCTGGGTTGGCTTGCATGGTTGCACAGACGGAATAAATAACTATCGATGAAGTTCTAACATCTCTCCGATCGATGGTTGGTCAGAACGAATGATCTACCAGTGTGGTTTTTTTTACGAAAGGTGTTCGATTCATTTGCTCCAAACCTAATTTGGGGTACAATGGTGCAGTAGGAGGTTCGTTCTTGGATGCGATTGCACATGCTAATGATGGAGGAATAGAGTTGAAGTATTCCCACACCGTTGACATTCATCAGTGTACATAGAAATGGGGATGAGTTTTCCCCTCACTTCTGTTGTATTTTTACTTTCTCACCTGTTGATGCGTGAGCACACGTGTCGACTCGCTAAGGCTTATAGGTTTTTCCGACCAGCCAGTCCAGCTGCTAGACGTCTCACAATAAGCCATGAGTGCTTGAAAATTCATCCAGATCAAACACCGTCGCCTTACCTGTTCTCATAAGCCCCTTGCTGACTCACTGGGACAGACCATGAGAGCAAGTAAGCGAATCCTCCTGTGGGCACCGATACGTTTGTCTCTTCAGGACACGCTAGGCCACAGGAGCTGACACATCAATCAATCGTCCCTATTTCTGGCCACTTTCTGGTCCCATTCAGGGATTCTATGTTAGGTTATTACCTCACACTCACGTAACACGGTCCAACAAGTAGACTGAATCGGATGAATGGCTTGTCACCCTTGAAACGAAACAAACTGCGTGTAGTGAACTGATTAAAGACGACGCACATCTCAATTCTTTTCGGAAAATGAATAGGATTTGAACTTTGGCATTCTGAGCTACAAGTGCAAATGTTCCCCCGGAGTGGGCACTTGCCACCAACATCTTAAAAACTTCCTAAAGGGATCTTTAAGCAGCATAGGTGGAAAACTTAACAAGAACAACCCATGTTCTTTGGATGGCTTAAAACGAACCTCGGTGCACTAGAGTGAGGGGGTAGTGGATAGACTGCTAGTGTCTTACAGTTGGGGGGAGATGGCTCAGTGGTTAGAGAGCGAACTTACTGACCAGAAGGTCCGTGGTTCGTATCCGACCTCTAACTCTCGACTTCCCCTGTCTAGGCTTGGGCAACCCGGTTGTATCCCGGCCCTCGTGCCTCCTTCGGGTGGCATGGCGGTTAGGCACCGAAAGAGTGCTACAGCTGGATGGTTTTGGTCTTGTAGTTAGAACCTTGACAAGAAGAGTGAAACTCAATCCAAACTCTTCGCTGTGCATGGTGTGGCTGAAAAACGTGGAAACTCAAACTTCTGTATCTAGGGTTTGCAAACGGGTTGAAACAGCTCTCACTCGACCTAGCTTCCGAGAGATCGAAAATCAACTTCGGGTGGCCGACGATGTAATTGAGAGTAATCTCAGTCGGAATTCTGGTAGGCCAGTGACTCTTAAGTTGGTTGGAAAGCTTGAAAGGCCGATAGATCGACATTGGACAGTGCCTTCTACATTCTGGTATATCCGTTAATTCCAGACACGAAGAGATAGCAAAGCAACAGTTGGAAAACTCGAAAAGCTTTGATCTCATGAGGAAATGCATAGAAATTGCTCACCGTAGTCCGTGGCTAACTAATCATCCTGAATTTGTTTGATTTAGTGGTTACCACGCTTGCTCATCTGACTAACCACTGAAATCGCATGCACTCTCCGGGTTCACCTCGAGAGTCAAACCAAACACACGGATTATCGTCTTTGTCCATTAAAAAAACTTAACCTCACCTTTTCTGAGGTCACTGACGACAAATGACAGCCTACACGCCGATTCTGGCTTTATGCTCGATGTACAGATCTGCCAGAGACAGTGACTGTCCAGCAGAGATTATCCAACCATTGTTTATGTCTCTATCGACTGTCACCATTGTTCCAATGAACTGTCTTTGCTTCAGCTACCGGACACTTGACTGTTTCACTACAGCCCTTACGATAGCGTCAATGTCGCCGTTTACCAGACCATGTGTAACTTTAATCGGCTCCGGAGAAAATATTCGTGGCGAAGACGAAGAAAACAAACAAATAAAATGTCCGGATGCCACTAGTACTCTATGTTCGAATACATCAGCAGCTTCGACTTCCAGTTTGGATGAATCGCCGAGAAATTTCTGTTCCAGGATAATAAAATGCACTCTCATTGCAGCGTTCATCCACGAGGACCAATCGGATTGACAGCCACAAATTTCACGTGCATCCGTCCGTGTTTTTACATCAGTTGAACGTAGCCGGCGGCTAAGATAGCTGCACTTGGCGGAACCGATTTACCCGGGTTAACATGCGACACATGAACAATGGTTATATGTTGTTGCACCTCAAGACCAAAATCCCGGTATGAGAACTGAATTTTTCGTGTCGTCATGGTTGGAGTCGAAAAATACGGGGGATTTCAGAAACGATGAGGTTCGAATAACCAGTTTGGTCAAGTTGATTGAAACGGCGAATGTGATCGTCTGTGCGATCAGGGTCGTGCACACAGCAGGGTTCCGTATGACTCTTGAGGTAAACCCGGAGAGCGCACGAGATTTCAGTGGCTAGTCAAATGTTCGGTAATATGGAGGAGCAGTGTTGAAAAGCATCAAACAAATTCATGGGGATTACTTGGGTTTTGAATTTACAGCAAGCAAATCTGATGCACTTCTCCATAAGCTCAATACTTTTAGAGTATACTTTGCGTCCGAAATTTACAGGTATATTATCCTAAAATGACATTGGCTAAAGCCGGTTTATCGATCTAATCTTCCGCCCCGTTGACCTATCGGTATTGGGGTTGGGATTGTGCTCGCTTGTTCTGTTAGACTACGTAGACCCGTGTACCAATTTTAATCGAAACTAGTTGACTACTCAAAAAGGACCCGCTTGAGGCTGTTTTCAAATATCCTATGTTTGCGTATTTCCAGATGAAGGGATTCATCTTGTGGTGGTGGTAAGCATACCGTGTCACCAGATACTGTATTTCGGTGAAAGCGAGCACCTACCGGATTCGAAGTCGGCACTGGCTTGACCGATACAATTGAATATGAAGTTGACGATGCTGCGGAACGTAAGTAGCTCGGCTACTCAGCGTGGTTGTTGGCCAGTTCGCCGGGCTTGGCATTTGGATGAGAAAAGTCTCACCAGCCAGAGTGATAATCACCCAGTCAATCCCGCGCTGACCCTGTCACACCCAGATTGGTGAGAAAATCTTTCCAGTCCAGTTGCGAAGCCCGGTGAACAAACCAACAGCTGAGTATGATGTTAACTAAAAGCGACCGTCAGGAGCTGACCTTAGACTGGATTGTCCAAAGATATGTTCCCTCAGACAAGCGAGACTCGGCATGAGTTCCATTTGAGTCTAGTTAGTGCCAGTCAATGCCTCTCACAACGAATTCTCGCAAATTATTCCCATCCATGAATTTTGCCCAGTTCCATAGCTTGCATCTTTCTGCGCGCGGTTAGACCCGTTTCATAAGCCTACATAGGATACCTTTAAAATCACTTGCCCTATGCTCGAAAGTTGCTATTGTTCAAGTGTTCACGCAGCTGCACCCCACGTGGGTGCCCTGGGCATGCCACAGCAACGCTGCGATGCCGCTAACCGAGCGGCATCAAACAAGCAGCATGATGAAGCATTTCATGTAATCCGTTTAAAAAAAAATAAAAATATGTACAATAGGGATAAATGTATGGTCATACAGTCCGTCTCAGACAGGAAAACCGTTATTCGAGTAGAAAATGAGCAGCAGAATTACACACTGAGAAGTGGATGCAGTAGATCCCAGTAGATACCTCAAAACGAATGGAACAGCCTTCAGTGGCCTCCTTTTCTGGCAAGCCCAGCAGGAATTCCGTGTTACTGTACCGACGGAGCTGACGAAGTCCTTTAGAATCAAGGCTTTTATTCTAACTTGATGCAGTCAAGTTAAAGGCTTCGTCCCCATTTGGGCTATCCTTGTTCCCCGATCAAAGTTGGTGAGTTTCAGCGGATCGAGTAGTCACAAAACTCTGAAAAAATGCAACTGGCATGTGGGTGAGACAAAATACACAGTCAGATCGATGAGCGCGGCGTCCTGGGGTTGAACAGGAAACCCAAATTATTACCAAATTCAGAGCGAACTAAGGATAATTCAACCCGAAGAACATCCAGCACTACCGTAATTCCTGGCTGTTGATCAGATGACACTCAATCTGTTTGCCGAACTAGTCAACTGGCTTGCAAAAGCCCCGTCCATATACGACCGGACAATGTCGATACGTGGATGGTGATATATCTTTATATGGTGACGAAATTTACAAACCAACCACTAAACTGGGCAAACAAATCAACTGATCAGCAGCTAATATTTAAACACATGACCAATAATCTCACCTCTTGGTAACATGAAGAGCGCCCTGTCCGCACCAAAACTGTTTTGAAGACAAGCTAATTCTACTGCAACCGGTAGCGATAGTGTGGTCCGATGAACTTCACTTGAAAGAAGAGCTTCTGTTTGCATCTGAGTCCCACCAATATTCATGGACATTGGATTGTGTTCTCGTATTCTCACTGACAAACACCTCAATTTACGATCAACATACGATGCCCAGCGAGAGCCCAGGAATGAGCACACAATGATGATAAAACTTGACAGATTGTCTTTCAACTGGAACCGCACAGTCAGGCTGAGACTGAAGCTCAGGTACAGATTACAGATCAT